AGAGTGCTACTTGCATGTATGCGACAGTCTCAAATGCCAAGTTAACAAGGACATTATTCAAAATTCCTACAGTAAATTCTTTTCATATTGAGTATTTATACAATACATTAAACATATTTTATATGCAATTGTTTGTCAAGTTTTTGAAATTGCATATTTGAATATGTCAAGCTTTTGAAATAAGCAGATTTCTCCTCTTTTATGCACAGCGTTCACTGAGTTGCGTAGGTAATTTTATTGCGCTTCATGGCGCCATCTACAGGCGCGAGGTCGTAAGTCCTGGATCTTTTAAGGTGGAATGGAAAACGCGAATAAGCAGCTAACTTCAGCCTCATTTTGTTGTTGTTGTTGTTGTTGTTGATATAGACAACGGCAGACGATACTTTTCGACATGAAATCTCTCGAGTAGATTATTAGTTTATGGGATCCTTCACGACACGATTAGCTCCTAGAATGAGGCCAGATAAAGTTTTAAGTTGGTTATTCAGCACAATTACAGACTTTATTCTTAGCTAACTTGAATAATTACTGGTCCTGGCTAGTTAGCTAGCTCGGGGTAGCTCTGTAGAAGAATTATTCGCTAGCTAGCCGGCTACAATCATTAGCTAAGATAATGGTGGGTGGTTAAAATATTAAAAGAAACTGCTGCCATCTCACCTGAACTTGCTGATAGTCCTTTTCGAGATCTTCCCATTCCTGTAAACACTCGGTCAAAGAGTTTGGGTTAAATAACATATTGTGAGGGTTGCTGACTGAAGAAATGTAGATAGCTATCTCGTTATACCGAACTGGCTTGAAGATAACGATTTATCCCCCGCCTACTTTCGCTGGAGTAAATGAAATTAAATTAGCTCGCAAGCCACTGCTCTGTTTGATAGACGGGCGTCATCTGAGCACAAGCAGACGAGCAGAACAGAGGCGTATAACTATGGTTCAATCCCAAACGGAACCGCATTAGATTTACTGTACCGTTGACGTATGGTCCGTTATTTTATACCCTACTTAGTGCACTTCTATAGGTCAGATGTAACTATTTGGCAACGCATGTTGTCAAATGCCCCCACCCTGCTAGTCACGGGATTCACCCTTATAAAATAAAGGACCTCAGATTAGTAAATGTCGTGGAATTCTAATCTTATTCGATCAACCATAAATATTGGCACCCTTCCACAGAATGGGCAAACATTTAATATACACTATATTGCCAAAAGTTTGTGGACACCTGATCATCACACTCATTTTAATCATCCCATTTAAGATATACTTCCTCATATTTGGCCATATAGATAGATACAACTTTATTGTCATTGCACAGTACAGGTACTCAGCACCAAAATGCAGTTTAGCATATATATATATATATATATATATATATACACCCCCACACAGTGGATATAAAAGTCTACACATCACAGGTTTTTGTGACGTAAAAAAATGAAACCAAGATAAAGCATGTCAGAACTTTTTCCACCCTCAATGTGAAATTACAACATATAAAAATAATTAAGTGAAAAACAATAGTGAAAAACAATTTTAGGGAAAAATAGGAAAAAAAAAAAAAAACTCGCAACAACCTGCTCGCATAAGTGGGCACACCCTTTTATATTTGAGGGTGTGGCTGTGTTCAGAATGAACCAATCACATTCAATCTCATGTTCAAAAGTAATTATCATACAGCTGTCATCAATGAAATTATTCTGATTCTAACCTCAAATAAAGATCTGACTGCTAAAGCCATGGTCTGCAAAGAGCTGACAAAGCCTGTACAGGGTCTCACTGTCGAAAGGAATCAATCAGGAGAGGGGTACAAAAAATTTCCAAAACATTAAATGTGCCTTGGAACACTGTGAAGGCCATCATCAACAAGTAGAGAAAATGGAGCACCACAGTGACTTTACCAAGAACAGGACGTCCCTCCAAATTTACAAAAGGACAATACAAACACTTAAAAGGGAGGCTGCCGAGAGACCAACGGCAACATTAAAGGAGCCCCAGGAATATCTTACAAGCACTGATTACTCTCTGCATGGGACAACAATCTCTCATATTCTTCACATGTCTGGGCTATGGGGTGGCTAGACAGAAGCTCTTTCTCACAAAAAACATCCAAGCCCAACTAAATCACCCCAAACCATGTGGCAAAGTGTGCTATGGTCTGACCAATTCCAAAATGTATAATAATTCCATAACTCCAAAAGGTATGTTTGGTGCAAAAAAAGCACATCAACAAAAGAACACCATGCCCACGGTGAAGCATGGTGGTGCCAGCATCATACTTTAGGGCTGCTTTTCTTCAGTCAGAACTGGGGCTTTTATCAAGGTGGAGGGAATCATTAATAGCTAAAAATACCAGTCTATTTTAGTGCAAAACTTTCAGGTGTCTGTTAGTAAACTGAAGATTAAAAGGAATTTCCCCTTTTAGCATGACAACAACCCAAAGCATACATCCAAATCAACAAAGGAATGGCTTAACCAAAAGAAGATCAATGTTTTTGAATGGCCTAGCCAGAGCCCAGACCTGAATCCAACTAAAAATCTGTGGGGTGACCTGAAGCGGGCTGTGCACAGGAGATGCCCTCACAATGGATCTAGAATGTTTTTGCAAGAAACAGTGAGAAAATATTGCCAAGTCAAGATGTGCCACACTGACAGACTCTTACCCAAAATGACTGAGTGGTGTTCACACTTATGCAACAAGGTTATTGTAAGTTTTTTATTTTTCCTATTTTCCCTAAAATGTTCTGATCACAAAAACCTGCCATTTTAACAGGGGTGTGTAGACTTTTTACACACACACACACACATACACATTATATATATATATATATATATATATATATATATATATATATATATATATATATATCTGTACACCACCACAAAGGCATGGTAAAGAGCGGAAACTCAGCATTTGATGATATCCATGGGTTCCAGACTTCAGGCAGTCATTGACGCAGTCATTTGCATCCAAATATTAAAAACAAATCCTAATATTTATAATTGTTAGTTTGTCCAATTACTTTTGAGCTTGTGAAAATGGAGAGACACTGTAAAAAATGGCTGTAATTCCTAAAATGCAATATTTCTGTTAAACCCCTTGGATTAAAGCTGAAAGTCTATACTTCAATCACATTTTGATTGCTTCATTTCAAATCCGCTTTACAGATGCAAATTATGAAAATTGTGTCACTGTCCAAATACCTACAGACCTGATTGTGTACACACAATATGTACTATGAGTCTTTCAGTTATATAGAGATAATACAGAATATACAGTATAAAATAGAATTGCAGGATGATTACATTCAGTAAAACTTCAGTGGCCTACCAGTGTAGTGTAGAGTTCAACAGGGTAATGGTTGTGAAAGCTGGCCGTGAGTCTGCTGGTTCTGGTGAGATTGTTCCTGTATGTCCTCCTGGATGGAAGGAGGTTGAACAGTTTGTGACTGGGATGGGAGGAGTCCCTGACGATGTTGCGTGCTCTACGCAGACATCTGTGGTGAAGATGTTCAATGGCTGGTAATTGGGCACCAATGATGTGTTGGGTGGTTTTCACCAGCCTTTGCAGGGCTTTTTTTGGACACTGTAGAGCTGCCATACCACACTGTGACACAGTTGGTCAGTATGCTCTCAATGGTGCAGCGATAGAAACTTGTTATAATCTGGGGAGACAGATGAACATTATTCAGTCTCCTCAGGACGTAAAGATGCTGGTGTGCCTTTCTGACCAGAACTGAAGTATTATGGTGCCAGGACAGATCCTCAGAGATGTGGACACCCAGGAACTTGAAGCTGGAGACACGCTTTACTTCAGTCCCACTGATGTAGATGGGAGAGTGCTAAAAGAGTCTGCTGCTTTTAGATTTCCGGAAGTCCACAATGAGCTCTTTGGTCTTCTCAGTGTTGAGGGTGAGGTTGTTGGTGCTGCTAGACTCATCATTGTTCCTAATGTGACCTACCTAACAGGGAGTAGAGCAATGGACTCAGCACACCACCCTGTGGGATGCCAGTGTTCAGGATGAGGGTAGAGGACATGTGATTGCCCAACCTAACAGACTGAGGTCTATTGGCTAGGAAGTTCAGAATCCAACTACATATGGAGATGCTGATGCCCAGGTCATAAAATAGACATCCCTATTAAACTTTGGTGTAAAATCTTTGACAGCGTCATTGTGCTATATGGATGTAAGGTTTGGGGGTCCACTCAGTACACATGGCTAGATGGGACAAGCATCCCACAGAGACACTGCATGCAGAATTCTGTAGAAATATCCTAAAAATTCAAAGAAAAAATACCAACCAATGCATGCAGGGCAAAAGTAGGCAGAATCCCATTGATTATACTTGTACAAAAGAGAACACTAAAATTTTGGAGACAAGTAACAAAAACAAGTAACCAAAACACACTGCAGTTTGAAACACCAAAAACCCAAGAGCTCAACCCTAAAACCAGTCCTCTCTGTCAGCTGGTCCTGAGACTCACTAACACAATAACCCCTAACATGCAGCAGAATCAGATCAGCACTGGGGACAGTCACACCCAAACCCAGTCCAGATTACACTGCCCTAAACAGAGGTTATCTCTTCACCTTCAGAGATATAAAGCAGAGACAGATCCTGACCAAGTACAGGCTGAGTGAGCACAGTTTTGCCATGGAGAAGGACTGACACAGGAGAACCTGGCTGATCCAGGAAAAAATTACACACATAATAACAATTTTCTGCCAATTAACAGAAGAACAGAACCTAAGAATCTTTTTAGAAAAGTTACACACTGCTGCCTTCGCAGCAAAGTATGTATCGGAATGTCACAGCCTGAGGGACAATGAGACACCAACTGTCCTGCTCATATCATGAATATCAGCTCTTCATAACATGTGCAGATACTTACCTGTTTGTTGTTTTTGTTTATTTTTTTGTAATACTTGTACATAAATGCTGAGATACGGGTATCCTGTAAATATATAAAATATGTTCTGATATACGTGCACTATTTGGGGTACCTGGAGGACTAGTGGTTAGGCCACAGTTCTCACCGCCACGGCCCGGGTTCGATTCCCGGCCAGGGAACCAGCCCCAGCCACTGGGGTTGCACATGACAGTGTACTCCCAGTGCTGGTCCCAAGCCCGGATAAAATTAGGGAGGTTTGCATCAGGATCAAATATGCGGATCAATGATCCGCTGTGGCGACCCCTAACTGGAGCGAAACAACAACAACATACCTGCACTATGTGCTTCGGTGATAATGTGATTTATAACAATCGTGCCAATAAAGCACTGCCACATTGAATTGAACTGAGAGACAGAAAGAGAGACTTGACTTTTGACAGTCCTTTATTTTAACCATTCATGATGTGTCCACCATTTTACATCAAGTAAACAGCATTTTTAAATACCTAATTAAATAAATAAATAGATACAAATAAATAGTTAAATACATAAATAAAGAGGTAGATAAATACACAAACATAATTATTAAAACACAGTAATAATTTGGTTTAAAAAGTCAATTAAAACCTTATTTACATCTTTTCATCCAAACTCTGGTGCAAAGACAAGTTCATCATTTAAAACAGAACATACTGCTTCCTTGTAGCATGAAGTAGTACCTGAACATTTCTAGGTCACTCATGCATTGTAAAAGTTCAGTGACAATCAATGACAATTCTTGCTTTCACTAGTCTTTGAAAGGTCCTTGTTCCATTGTGTTGTGCATTTTGTGGAGCATTGTGGAAGGGACTAGATGCAACAGGCAGGTGGTAGGATTGCAGGACCAGATGACCTGTAGGATCTCTTAGGTAGGATCTGTAGGTACACTCCCAGATATTTAAAACCTCCAGTTTTACATGTTAGGTTGTCTGGAAGGCTTGGGTCCCCACCTGTCCAGACCCTGAATAAAATGGCTTCACTTTTGTTCCAATCAACTGTAGCAGATGATAAAATGTTAAAATCATCTATAATATCAGTTAAAACATCAATGTCTCTATGTCCATTCACCATGACCACAACATCATCTGCATACGCTGACACACAGTAAGAGGTATTACAGTTGGCATTGACAGACCAGTGATTTTACTTCTTAACTTGCACAGCAGAGGTTCTATGACTAGGGTGTATAGCATGTTGGACAGAGAGCAGCCTTGCCTAATACCCCTATACACTTTAAAAGGTGCACATAAACCACTGTTAACTTTCAGTATGCTCAATGTTACTGTACAAAACCTTGATCATGGCTATGAAACCTGAGTTGAACCCGAAGTTCTCTAATGCGTTACACAAGTATTCATGTTCAACCCAGTCAAAAGCCTTTTCCTGGTCCATGAATAAAAGAGCAGTCTTCAAGTCCAATAGTCTAGAGACGTCCAAAATATTGCAAAATATCGGCACACAGTATGTCTGGTCAAAGTGAATGGCTTGCTCCATCTCCTTCCCTAGTCTTGTTGCTAATGCGGTGTATAGTAACAATACGGGGCGTCAGTTCCTCAGGTCAGCAAGATCACCTTTCTTTGATAATAGGGTCAAGACCGCTCTATGGCTACTCAATGGCAGCTTGCCTTCCTTCAGGCTATCCTGTAGCACATCTAGCAAGTCCTGCCCTAATACCAACCAGAAAGCCTTGTAGAACTCAAGTGAGAGCCCATCGATGCCAGGTGACTACTCATTCTCCAAACCGCTGAGTGCCGCCTCTATCTCATCTAGTGTCATCTTCTTATCAAACTCGTTTGCTGATCTCTTGGTTATGTGCATGTATTAGACTTATGGGTACGTATAAGTCTTTTCTCTCCATTTCTTTGCTCAAAACCAAAGAAGAACTTAGAAGGAGCGTCCATCTCTGTTACGCTTTTAACGTGCGAGAGGAGCAGTGCACCCTGTGCTGTTGTACCCAGCTGGTCAGCCAACTTGTTTTTTCTTTTTTGAGACCCTCAATGTGGCCTTGATTTCCTGTAGACTCCACTAAATATCCACCGCTTTGAAAGATCTGGTTATGTCTTTGGTAACATTGTCACTGTATTCACTTTCAAATAGAACTGTGTACTGGTCGGCGCTGCACTGGGACTTACTGTGCCCATTGTCTATCCCAGTAGTCATTGTACCGTCTTGTGCTGTCTGCACATGTTTGCACTTGTGCACTTTATGTAAATTTATGTAGTCCCTTGTAGTTCTGTCCTGTTCTGTGTTTGTCTTATGTAGCACCTTGGTCCTGGAGAAACGTTGTTTCATTTCACTATGTACTAACTGGCTGTATATGGTTGAAATGACAATAAACTCCGCTTGACTTGACTTGACATTGTGGGTATTCTGTAACTCTTAATTTCCACAATTTGTATAACTTAATTTGCACTTTTGCCACATCCCACCACTGCTGCAAAGAGGTAAAAAAATGGCTTTTGAAGTCTAAAAGTGTCCCAGAAAAGCATAAAATTCTTTCTAAAATTAACATCGTCTAAATGCGCTGCATTAAAATGCCAGCATGCACTGCATGGTTCTACATAGCTTTTCCTAAAAATGCACTGAACCATGCAATGATCTGAAAACCCCACAGTATAGATAAAGCAGGACCTAAAAACATTCAGTTGGTGTTTAAAACTATTAAAATGAAGCTTTGCCAGTGAAAGCATGCTGTCTTTGGTGTGAGCCAACTTATTTAAATGAAAATTTATGAAAATTTCTCCAGATATAACACAATTCATGTGCTGCTATTAACTCACACAAACGCTTTCTGGAAGCAGCATGAGGTTCTACATGGTTCCTGTCCAAGCTATCAGCAGTGCAGTTAAAATCTCCACCTACAATTAAAACTTCATTATCATTACAGGAACCATTCATAGTACTTATGATTGTGCTTTTAAAAGGTGTTTAAAAGATAGTGCTTTTAAAAGGTGTTTAAAAGCAGCATCCTCTCTACACCTAGAGTAGGAGCGTACACACATATAAAAACAAAAGCCTCATTTTCAAAACACACTTTCACTTTTAAAAGTCTTCCTTTTAAAAATTCTTCAGCATCATGAGACTGTGGAATAAAAGACTCAGAAAACAGAAGAGCAACATCACCGCTAAGAGAAGTATTGTGACTTAATATAGTGAGCCCTTTCCACACACTCGCCCAGTCCAAGGAGGTCTCTGTGTCCCTGTGTGCTTCCTTTAGGCAAGTGATATCGGCTAACTTCTGTTTCACTAGTTCATAAAAAGAGGCTCTTTTCCTACAGTCGCTAGTACCATTTCTGTTTTGTGTTACCATGGTAATTTCACTCATTGTTATATAATAAAACAGGAACAATTTAATAAAGTTAAAAGCCATTATTATTTGAGGAGGGCTAAGCAGGCTAGTTTCTTTCCTCATTGCAGTACGTCTTTTTAAGCTTGGTCAGGTGGTAAACTTCTACATCTAAAAAGTCCCCTTTTGCATTAAATTTTCCCCTCATTGATAAATCATTGATGGGGTCTGGAAAGTACTCTTCAGGCATCACTCCTCTTGGGGTAGTTTCATCTACAGCGGTCTCAGTCAAGGAGGGTTCAGCTACAGCGGTCTCTGCTAAGGAGGGTTCAGCTACAGCGGTCTCAGCCCAGGGGCGAGCAGGTACATCGGGCCCCTCTTCCTCAGGCTCAGCCGTGGACGTGGCCAGCGCAGTCCGCGCCGCGTGGTTGTCTGTCTGCTCTTCCTGGTCCAGTTTTTCTGGACATGCATGGACCAAGTGTCCCGATTCGCCACAGCTAAAACATTTTATTGTTGTATCTGTTGTAGCAAAAAAAAAAAAAAAAAAAATCTAATGGAAGTTTCATCACCAGGTCGAGTTCATCCACACCATAAAAAAACCATGTAACCAGCCTCCTAAAGGACACAAGGTGTTTAATATGGGGTGAAGAAACCAGTTTTCTATACAGGAAGAGCTCTTGTGCAATCATCTCATCTTTGATAAACGGTGGTACACTGGACAGCATGACTTTTTTTGAGGGTGTACTGAGAGGAAACATAACTGTAAGTGAATCATGCCTCACTGTTCCTCTTTTTACAATTTCGTTTACTTTCTCCACTGTGTTTAGAAAATTAACAATAGCGTTGTTCATTCTCGAAGCAGACACCATGTTGTTATGTCCCACTACATTCCCCACAGCCAGGCACCACTCCTCCACACTCACTATACACTTCTCCTTCACGCCGTGTCGCCATGCTCACTTGCTCCAGCGTTTGGCGCCGCCATGCTTCCCAGCAACATACAAAACATACAAGAAAGAGAAGTTTTGGAACTAATGTCCAACCACTCGCGCCTTCATACACGCGCATGCGCAGAGAGAGAGAGAGAGAGCGAGAGAGAGAGAGAATGCTCAGAAACATTTGGGTATTAAAACAATTAACTGTGGGTTTTTTTTCCCCTTCTTATTTTATCGAACCTTTTTTTTAATTGTGTGTAAATGTGTATGTCTGTAATTTAACGTTCCCAATGCTTTGGCAGTGTAAAACATTTTACCATGCCAATAAAGCTACCTGAATCTTGACTCTTTAGAGAGAGAGAGAGAGAGAATGACTGTCTATCAAACTTGAATCAAGCTTTAACTCTTTAACTGATGATGGTTTACTCTGTTGCTGCGGCAACCAATAAAAAGTCAGCGTGGAAAAACTCGAAACTGCACTAACCAATCAGAAGTGCAGATCGCGGAGCTGTGTGTAAAGCGCTCTCTGGTTGGCTGAGAAGAATTCCAGAAGTATTTTTGAAAATCCAGCGGTGCACAGCTGCCTGGAATGGCTGGTTTCGGGGTATGATTACTGTATTATTTTATTATTTATTATTTATTATTGTATTTTGGATTTCTGGATTAAATCTACAGACAGTCATATTTTTTCTTTAATAATGCAAACAGCTTTTATGTAAATTATCCTGTTTCTGCAACTTTATAATTCGCATAGCTTGACAGTTTGCAACGTTAGCAATAGTAATAAGAGTATGTTAACTGTTTTCAGTATGTTTAATTATTTCTAGCGACTAAGCAGACACTTTCAGAAGCGCAAGAAAAAGCATGGCAGCAGTCGACGTCTGGCCCTGAAGGCCAAGCAGTCATTAATGCCGGGATC